CCAAGGTAAATTTGCATACTGAATTCGATGCTCATGACGAAAGTACTCAATATATACTGTTAAATAAAGGAATAATTACGTTTTAATTGCTTTTGAGTGGCTAAGGAAGTGTTTCAAGCTGTATCACTCGAAGCACATTTCTGACGATCTTTCCAAGACTTTATCGAGTTCTTAGTTCGTTTCAAAACGAACTAACGAACGTTTAAGCTTCTTGATAGTAATTTGGGTTCACTTGCTGTACGAAAAATACGAAGAAAATAAATGATCCGTCACATAAATTTTCCGTGTATGTTATTCCAACGGCTTCTTTTTCCGTGTTGTAAAAAGATATAATTTAGCTATCCAGCAATAATCGTCCAAATACTAATTATAACAGAAAATCTAATTAAGTTCTATCTTAACGCGTAAAATTGAGTAAGTTACCTTTATCAAACATTTTATTTTTTCCGGATTTCTTTTTAGCAAAAAATGAGATCTTTTTCCATGCGTTTTTGTGAACGGTAGACAACGTTTTACTAATATGTAGGTTCACACTATGCGAAATATATTATATTTACATTAATCATTTCTATGTCTCATAAAACTCCCATCCCTGTCATACTCCAGAATATTTACTAAAAAGCCTTCGCCACAGACCTGTAGGTTTTTGAGATGACCTTCGACACGAGAAACATGAAACCTACATCTCGATTAATAAATTAGTTATTGTTGCCCCATTACTCTCAGTTCATTTAAACGGCAAAGTTCTCGGATTGTACGGAAGTCAGAATCTACCGGCAATTTTAATTTTTTCCTCTTTCTTTCCGGACTTTTGCTACTAAACAGCTTGGATTTTGACTTCAAGAACTATATAAGCACTGCCTTCTTATCATAAAGAACAAAAAGTTTTACGAGCGATATAATCAATGACAACATATTCTTTCTTTTTTTGTCAATCAGCGTTTTCTGTTATAAAAAAGAGGAGTTAAGTAAAAGAGACAGATATAGGAGAGCAAAACAATATATGATAAAAAAAACTGCACATTCATCATCCTGATTTCGAAAACAGTTATGAATCAATGAAAAAAATTAAATTTGGATTAGACAAGAGACGTTACTAATATTTCGAGGATGTGCCTGCTTAAGAGTAAATAAATTCATGTTCAAGTCGATCTCAGCAAATTCGTTTACTTAATAGCGCCTTTTATCAATGAACTATTGCATGTCGACAAGTATAGATTGTTCAACAATTAATATCAAAAAGTGCTTTAAATCAAGGGATTCTCTTTGAAATGAAGGTTGGTGTTAAAGACTGCTATAACCCATTTTATGATATTCAAGAGCTGAGCACTTATTCAACTGACAACGGCGTTCTCTTATCGATGGGTACAGTATTTCGCGTTCAATCCATTCAACAAATCCATAGTAGAAGTTGGACTCGTCTTTTAAAATTAGTTGGAGAAGGAGATAATGAACTGAAAAAATTGATCGAGCATAAGTAAAAGGAAAAAGTGAAACAAATAATTTCTTTACATAGCGTTTGATGTTAAAAATGGGACAGCATGAAAAAGTAAAAGAGTATCATGAAATTTTGTTTTATATTAGTTGGGTGCTATTTTTAAATGCACTGCTAATGAATGTAAACAAATTACAAAAAGCGATTATCGTGGCAACTCAAAACCACGAGGTATATTAACTGAATAAATCACATTGCTCTTTCACTAGCTAATTTTTGTATCTCATTTCTTGTTGTATTGCATGTTTTCTTGTCCATTCTCGTGCTATTTCATCAAATTTGTGTCGATCATTTTTGAAATAATTACTCGCTTCCACATTAAATGGGTCATCACTATTTATATCAGTTGTTAATATTAGATAGATATTTAATAGAATTTTCTCGATAGTTAGTAACGGATACCATGTTGAACGAAGATTATTTAATGGACATATTTCACCTTCCAAAGATATATTTGGGTGATAGATTTTTGTTTTGAATGTAAATTGTGGTGATTTTAATGGATAAGCTGGTGGAATATGTATTGCTACTAGAAATTGTCCATCTTCGTAATTAGTCTCTTTTGGACCGAAAATAATTGCTTCCCAATAGAAAGGATCATAATCGCTCATAATATGAACCTTAAAAAGAGGATTTTGTTCGATCGAATAGAATTCTCTCATGATACGATTTAATGCCATTAATTCGCACGTTCTTTGCTTTTAGGTAGATATCAAATAACTGCCAGTATACCCTTTAAACATTTTGAGCAGTAAAAGCTATGAGCTGATTTGTACGCTTCTGTGCACATGTGTGGAGAAATGGTTTTTTCCGAGTGAAATGTGCTTTTTTACAATATGCAGGTTTTTTTTTGTTTCTACCATAGGGTACGAAAACAAGAGCAACATTGTTCTCCTTCACTGGTTTCTCCTTACTCTGAAAAAATTACGTCACTTTCACCACTCGTCCATGAACCGACTCTTCTGCGAGTTTTCAAAAATAGATGTTAAGAAAACTAACTTTTAGAAACCTAACAAAACAGTTGGTTTTACTGGACCTATCCGTTATAACAGTTTTGATATAGCTTTATCTTGAACTAATTAAAACACGCATAAGTCCTTGAAAAGCTAAAGAAAATTTTCAGTACGTCATACACATATGTTTTGTGTGAAACTACTTTCCGAACTCACTCTCAC